TAGTTTTGCTTTTGTGACAGGGTTCATGTGTTGGAATATATGGAGTGAACTGCCCACAGTGGATATTAGCCTTGGAGGTATGGTATGCTTTATCTGTTTTTCTTACCAAATGACTCTTTTAGTCCAATCGTCTATGCAAAACCACAGTTCGACGGGTCATAACTGTTCATTGACATGATGCCCAATGATATGGAGAGTGTGCAACATACCATTGGGTCATATTATTTCAATGACCGGTGATGACTTGATAGAACATGGTTTTTTTTTGTAGTCCATTGGATTATGTAATAATTTCTGTTCAGCATTATTATGCTGATGAAATGATGCTTTTGCAGGCTTGCAATGGCCACAGTTTCATTTGTGTCCCACTTTATGATACACTTGGTGAGTTCCTGCCCTTAACTTTGCCGTATCATGTGTCACTGTTTGTTTCTGGAAAATCTATTGGTATTATGCACTGTGGCGGTATCATTTTCTCAATTCATTTATGCTTCAAATCACTTCTGCTGGGTTGTTTATTTGATTGCTTTCAATCAATCCTATGATATTCTTTTGATTGTTTTCAATGAATCCTGTTGTAACTCTCAGTACGATATGCCATTTGAACAGGACCAGATGCTGTGGATTTCATCGTTGAACATGCGGAGATTGATTATGTTTTTATTCAGGATAAGAAATTAACGGAAGTAAGCATTGATTATGACAAATTGGTGCCTGAGCTCTTAAGAATTGTTCCTGTAATTTGTGCCCTTGATGCCAGATTAATCCTGAAAATGAGCTTAATCTTCTATGCAGATATTAAAACATGACAAAAAGTATTCTAGAAGGCTAAAGTGTAAGTCATTGGCTCATTTCATACTACCAATTCATTTTGCCATCTTGAAATGCTTATAGCTGTTGGTTCTAATCTCTCAGAGTTGATTATCTGTGGTTGCAGTGCTGGTTTGCTTCACAACCCTGACAAAGCAGCAAAGACAAAATGCGGCCGGCTATGAAATTGCAGCATATTCCTGGGATGAGTTTCTTCAAATGGTTTGATTCTCTATATGCACACCCACTATATATTAGGCTATTGAATTTAGCTTTTATTCTAGATTGCTATACTGAATTAGCTCACAGTGAACGTGTTGAAAATATCATTTCTTCTTCTCAACAGACTAAAATAATTTGTAAAATGACTGATTTGTGTAAGCAACTCGTACATTGCTCAGAGCAGGAGACCACGTAGTTTTCACTCTAGTGCACTGAACAGTCAACTGGTTTGTAGCTAGCTGAGTTTTGGTTCAGTTTGAAAGGGTCCAGAAAATTATATGAACATAACTAACCCCTCTAGTGGAACTCCCATATTTGATTCGCAGAATAGACCGATGTGGGTTTCCAAAACTGCAATTCTGATTCATTGACGTTAGATGCCAGTTTATAAACTAGAATTAGGAAACCCATTTGGTACTGTCAAATAACAAACTTTGAATGTAAATAGTTTTGTAGTTCTTGATGTCACATCACTTAAATATTATGTTTAAATTATGGTTCATAAGGCAATTTATTTGATTTGCTGCAAATAAATAAAAAGAGTACAATGTTTTTTTCTTTGTAGAATTATTTGGTCAGATCTGTTATGTACACAAGGGAAATTGTCGAAATACACTCAAGACATGAACTACTTGACATGCTGTCCATTATTTAATTTTAATTTTAGAAGGCCGATATTCAATTTGAGAAATTCCATCTAAGGACTATAATCATGAGTTAAGAGAGGCACTTTCCTTTTCTACCCCTCCTAAAGTTAATTCCCAAGAAAACCACTTGTTGCACGGACCTATGGCTTGTACTTCTATAAACTCAAAAGATTAGTATTCTCCCACGGGAGCATCCCATGGGCAAAGAAACCCTAGCTAGAATATTTTTAGTATCCCAAATTTTGAGAATATATACATTCAAGAAAATTTTGGGGATATACAACTCAACCTAGAAACCGACCTAGAAAATAAAAAGAATTCGACACTTTTTGGAACCCATTTAAAAAATCATGCCCAAGGAGTGCATATAGACTTCTAAATCTAGGTGTTTGAGCGCCAAAAAGAATGTTCTTTTAAAGCGAAATTTATCCAAAAGCACTAAAATTTGGAACTTCATCATAATCACCCCAATCCGAGAGCGTACTTTTTTTCATGTAGTTCCAAAATGTGTGCCTAGGGTTTTTTCCTTTTCTCTAGGTTGAGTAAGTGATGTCCCCAAAATATGGCGTCCTAAAAATACTCCTAAATAGAGTTTTACATTTTGCTTCTGTGGGAGCATATTAGTGTTTTTTATTATTTGTTTTTTTTCAAATTATAATAAAAAGGCCCACTTATAATTGTTTTATTATAAAGACATAATCAATTAGATCTGTGCCTATCAAGTGCTTAACTTTGGAAGGAGAGGCAAGATTGGAAAATGCCCCACAGTGTTTGTTGGTGGAATTTCTAAAATTAAGTATGGGCCTTTTGGAATAAAATAAAAAAAGAAGGTTAAAATGTCAATTAGTTAATTATTCCCTGATTGAATTTTGGTAAATTTCCCTTAAATTTTTTTTTTTAGATGCGGAATAATATTGCCATTTTACTTGCCTAGCAAACTGAGGAAAATAATTGTGTTAGTTGTGAACCTGAGCGAACTGGAATAATAATCAGTGCAACCTAAAAAAAGGGTCACGCCCCAAGCTGGTATAGCATATAGTTTAGGGAAAAAGATGTATAACTCCCTCTTTGTAATTGCAATCCTAAATAACCCCTTAGATCTATTAAAGCCCATGGACCCCCTCAAAGTTAAAAGAAAAAGATGTTTAACTGCCTTCTTAACTTTCATTTTCCAAATTACAATATTTATCCTTTTTATTTTTAATGACCGAAATGGAATTTGGGATGTTATGTTTAACTATTTTGAGGGGTGAGAGAGAGAAAGCTTTTCTAATGTTTGGGTGACTAGGTTATTAGAAAAAAAAAGAAGATAAATATTGCCATTTGATCTATGAAAAAGGTATGGAGGCAGTCAAACGTTCTTTTCTTTTAGCTTGAAGGGAGTTCATAGACTTTTCATGGACTTGCCGGTTTATTTTGGATTATAATTATCTGAAGGGGTTATATATCTTTTTCCCTATGATTTATTGTACCTTTGGCATTTATCAATGGTGTCAACTCTATCGATGCAAATTACATGAGATGCTCGTGAGAAAAATTGCTTTGTACCAATGAATGAATAAGGGCATTATGGGCCCTAGAAATATCGAGTAGGCATAAAACATGCCCACATGCCCTTGCACACACACATCAGGGGCAAAAAGTGTGGCTGTTACATGAAAATAGTGGCTGCATATTATTACTAAGGGACCCACCAATCATGATTTTTAAAGATAATAGGTTAGTAGGTTAGGCAATAAAACAATCCTTACACTAAAAATAAAATAAAATTCTTGCTGCAACGGCCCTGATATTGAGTTTTAATTGTTAATTAAAAAAAAAAATTTAGATTTAACTTTTTTTTGTACCATCCATTTACACCCAAATTTTCTTTGGTTTCCCAAAATGCCCTCACTTTGGACTTTAAAGATCTTAAGTGACGACTTCGGATCAAAGTCATCATCATCATCATCATTTTCTTCCAAGCCTTATCCAAATATTTGGGGTCGGCTACATCAATTATGTTTCTCCATTCTTCTCTATAAAGGGTCATACATTTAGTAAGACCAAAAGTTATGTATCTTTTCTACTACTTCTATTCATGTCTTTTTGGGCATTCCTCTTACTCTTTTAGAGCCTTTCACTTGAACCAAATCGCGCCTCCTAACTGGTGCTGTATTAGGTCTATGCTACATATGGCTAGCCCACCTAATCTACTTTGCCTCCCCTTATCGCTTATTGAAGCCACTCTTATGTTCCCTAGTATGTATTTGTTTGGAATTCTATCATTTCTTGTATTGCTACTCATCCATCTCAACATTTTCATCTCAGCTGCGCTTGTCGTATGGATATGTTGTTACTTGATCGCCCAATATTTCGTCTCATAATGCATGGCTGGTCTTACAGCTGTCCTATAGAACTTTCCTTTCAGTCTCAATTATATGTATTAATTCCGAAGTCCGATAAAGAATGATTTCGGATCAAAGTCATCAGGAGTTTTTCTACTATGACTTTCGACCTTGAAGATCCAAACTCAAGACTTCTAAAATTTGACTTCAACTCTTGAAGATCCGAGGTTAAGACTTTTAACTTGACTTTGGATCTCAAGGATCTAAAGTCAAGTATTTGTTACCATGGGCGTAAATTTCTCTTTGAAATATTCATGTGATTTTTGCTATCTTTCTGAGAATTTTTTCAATATTTTGGTCTTCTTTCCCCTTTTTTCCCTTTATGTCCTTTTTCCCATGTTTTTGGATTAATGCCTATATCCCAAATATGTAGCCGAGTACCAATATGAAATGCAAACGGTCCACTTTTGGGGTGGTTCTAGAAGTCCTTTCTTCGAACCTTGACACATGTGCAAAGATAAATATTCCTTCATAATTCACACACTCATATGCAATTCATATACCAGAAGTCCTTTCTTCGAACCTTGACACATGTGCAAAGATAAATATTCCTTCATAATTCACACACATGCATATGCAATTCATATGTGACTGAACAGCATTGCATGAATTCCACTCTCGTTGGGTTCCACTGGTCAATTTTGTGATGTGCCTGAAGAAGAGCTTTTGCTGATGTTTCTTCTTTACCATGATGCAAACAGCTTTATGGAGAACACACGATAGCTTTTTGTTTCTCATGAAGGTCAGGTGTACCATAGTTCATCAGTGAGAGTGACGTGTTGCAAATTTCAGGGTAAAGAATATCCAACTGAACTTTCACCTCCGAGGCCTCTTGATGTATGCACTATAATGTACACAAGCGGAACAAGTGGAGAACCAAAAGGTGTTATTTTGACACATGAGAGTCTTGTGATGTATATAGCTGGACTTGACATTTTCATGGAGCAGTTTGAAGATAAGGTTAGTTTCTTGGGATTTTTATATATGTTGCTCGATTGAATATTGGCAATTTTTTGAATTTTCCTTCCTTCACATACTTTGTCGTTTGTATGACACAATTGGCATGCATTCGGTTGGTTGTGCAAACAGATGACTGTAGATGATGTATATTTATCTTTCCTTCCACTTGCTCACATCCTTGATCGCATGGTGGAGGAATACTTTTTCTATAAAGGTGCATCTGTTGGCTTCTGGCAAGGGGTATGCAACTTGAATCTTTCCACTATCTTTGCTCTCTCTCTCTCTTTCTGGATTTTAGGTATTTTGATTGTGGAAGATGTTACAAATTCATACTCAGAAAACACTGTTGGAGTCAGTTTCGGGCTTTTGACAAAGTTCAAAACGACTATGATACTTTTGAAATATTAATCTTTTGCAAAATTATCAGCCTGCCTAATACCTTAAATCTGTAATCACTCTCTTTCAACAATTGATGATGGTCAGTTGTGAAGAAGCACCAGCAACTCTGTGTGTACGCATTCATGCATGTGTGCATGCATTTGTGTGTGTCCATGCAGTCTTTCCCTTAGGAAGCTAGATTGGTAGTGTTAATCTGTGGAACAAGGTCATACAGTATTCCTATTGCAAACCATGAAGAGAAAGTTGAAAGAGTAGAATAGAAACATCTTTGGTTGCTTAGAATAGAGGAAAGACATGCCTTTTAGGATATTTCAACGCTGGACATGATGGAGGAACATTGTCTGATTCACATTGGCCCTGTGAAAAGAAGCTTTAGAGGAACTATCACAAGATCACTCTTCAAAACAAATTTAGTTGATGTTCTAATCTAGGGTTAAATGGCACCAAGAAGGGCCAGTAGACTTTGAGATGATTGGCGCTACTGTGTTTTCTTCCGATCATTCGCTCTCCATGCGACATATTTAAACCTAAGTTAGATCCTTTTGACTGGATATTGAAGAGGTGGCAAGATGCTTAGAAAAGTCCTTTGAGGTGTTGGGACCACTTGTGTATGAGTCTTTTATCTATGTTACATTGATTCTTTTGTTTGGGTGCCGTACTTGTGTAGGACATTACAAAACTTGGCTGCCTAATCGGATGAATGGGGAAAGCGCCTAGGCGGCATCTGGGTGGGGCACCTAGGCGGCTTGCGTCTAGGTGCCCGCCTAGGCGTCGCCTTGACAAAACTTGCCGAGGGCGGAAAAATGCCCTCGGCTAAGGTCAATTTGGTAATGGCCCCCCTAAACCCCCACAACCTAATCTGTGGCTTCTAGAGAGATAAAAACTCCCCAAAAACCTCGAACAGGTGATTTTTGAAAGATCGATAAATTTTTTATTTTTTTGATTTCTTTCGAAATCAAAGATAATTGTTCGTGGTAGTTTTTGGAGCTTCTAGTGGTCTATTTTGACCTATTAGATGGAGTTTAGGCCAACATCGTTTTGATTTTGATATTTTAGAGCATTATCATATTTGAATTAGGGTTTTGATTATTTTTGCTATACGATATTATGTTGTGGATCATTTTTCTTTTCTTTTACCTTTTTGTTTTATGATATATTTACATATTTGTAATTGAAAGATTGAATCTTTTTGTGATTAATTGAATTTTTCGTCATTTGGACGTGAAATTGGGCCTATATCGATTTCTTTCATGGATAACTGATTTCTTTTTTGTACAATGTGTCATATTTTGATATTCTATTATTTTTGTTTTACTTTTTTTGATAAATTAATAATTGTGTTATATCTTAATTCTTATGTGAAGTTATGTAT